GGTTTAGGGTTTGGGTTTTAGGGGTGCCAGCCCTTTTGAAAGCATTAAACAAGGATTTATATCGGAGGCCCATATTACGCACTGGCTTCTTTTCTACCACTCCGTATGATCCGACAATGTACCGAATACGTTAAATCTTCATGTTTTTCGACAAAGCTTCTGCCATGCGATTATCTTCAAGAACTCACGAACACTGCCTAACATTCGTTCTTCTAAAGTGTCATAAAGTGCACCTTCGCTATATTCTGAATGTGCCCATGGGCCCACACAGTTAGAGCTATACCGTGTAAGCCCACATGCAGACCTAAATCTTGGACCCTGAAGCAAACCAACCCAAAGCAATCAACCAGGTGTGGACTCCCTTCACGGCCCACCGCAGCAACCCTAAACCCTAAACCCTAAAACCGCACCCCCAACAAGACCTGACCCTAAACCCTAAACCCTAAACCCTAAACCCTAAACCCACCGCACCCCCAACAAGACCTCAAAGGACTCAACAGTCCGAATCCCCAAAGCCCAGTGACATGAGTGAGGAGGCGGATAGCCGGGCGGTCAGCTGGGCGGACTACGAGTGGGAGCTGCGCCGCCTGAGCCTCCCGGCTTTTAGGGTTTAGGATATATAGGTTTAAACCCTAAACCCCAGACCCTAAACCCAAAACCTTAAACCCTAAACCTTAAACCCCAAACCAACAACTCAAAACCTTAAACCCTAAACCCCAAGCCTGAAACCCCAAACCCTCAACCCAAAACCTTAAGCCCTAAACCTAAACCTGAAACCCTAAACTGTAAACCCAGGGCTTCCCAGATGAGCGTCTTGGATTTCCGGTTTCGGAGGCTAGGTTGTCGGTGTGGTGGGGGATCTATGGTTCAATCGGAGGTCTTAGGGTTTAGGGTTGGGGCAGATGGCAAGTAGGGCTTTGCGATCATACTTTGTTTTTGTTTGAAGTTCGTTGTGGTGATGATGTGGCGCTGCCACAGATCACAACATAAATGTTGTCGACATCTCCGAAAGAACCTGCTTCAGTCAGTTCGGGCATAATGTTGCGAGAGCAGGCATTGCTGACATCAATCAAGACATGCCCAGCAGTATGCAGACTTGACCTTGTCGGGTACTAAGGCACCTGCATTGACACACCTTATGGCCAAGAATGCGCGACTTCCCAGGAAGGGCAAGGGGATGCCAGATGCTGAGCCCATGGGCTCCGCGAATCCCCGGCGTGGCGGCTTGGCGGTGGAATGGGCCCACGCTTCTGTGCATTTGCAGCATCACGACCTTCGCAAGGCTGCAAGGTGGAAGTCGTCGGGCCTCTGGAGACGATCTGCGATATCCTTGGGAGGAAACTGCTCTCGTCGGCACCAGCTTGCAACGCCACGTTCTGTGCTAGATCTTCTGGGAGTTTCGCCATTGCAATGCAAGAAGGTCGAGACGCGGCAAGATCCCTACGTCTCAGGGTTCGTCTGCTCATGAACCGAAAGCTTTCTACGTTGGATTGTCGGGAAGTCGATGATGTCAAGCGTGCTTGCTTGGAACTTCGAAGGGGATATCTGCCCGTATGCAGCCATCCGACGGAATGCACTTCGTGCCAGGAAAGCTCTGAGTCTAGGTACAGGGTCGGTGCAGCTGCCCGTCAAGCACGTTCGAAACTGAGTCAAGGTGAAAACCTAAACCCAAAACCCTAAACCCTAAACCCTAAACCCGGACTGATTAGGGTTCTGTTCATGCGCACCTCAAGGTGGCGCTCGAGTTCTTTGTGTTGCTGTCGCACATTAACGTCTGCAGCTCCGTTGATGAACGCTCTTCCTAATCACGCACGTCTAAGTGCATGAAGTTATCCCGACTGCCAGATAGCATGATTTTGATACTTCAACTGTTCCAGATCCGACGATAGGGTTTTGTGCATATCAGGACAGCCTCATCTTCCATGCTACAAAAAGGAATTGAAACCAAGAGGGTCCACCCTCATATCGACCCGGTGCACTAGGTTCCCCACATGCCATGAATGTCATCAAGACCCAAGTGCCCGAGAAGTAATCCCGATGTTTAGGGATCCCCAGTTGCCCCAATCTTGCAGGCGGAGGCGGGCAATCTCAGTAGAGTTGTGGATGCCCGAATCGAAACTCGGAACCTGAACCCCAAACCCTGAACCCTAAAATCCTAAATCCTAAACCCTAAACCCTAAACCCTAAACCCTAAACCCTAAACCCTAAACCCTAAACCCTAAACCCTAGCCTGAGCCTCTGAAGAGGGAAAGGGGGAGCTGCAGCACCATTGACAGACCGCCGCGTGGGCAAAGGGAGACTCCTCAGTGAGTTGTTCTTCCAACATGACGGTTTAGGGTTTAGGGTTTAGGGTTTAGGGTTTAGTTTCCTTAGTCGCTGAGTTCATAAGCTCAGAAAAGTGTACACTTTCAGTTTTACCGTAGGTAATATTATCCCAAAAGTGTAAAGTGCATCCACTCAGCTACTGAGTTTCAGAAAAGGAAGGACCTCAATCTGCTCGCACAGAATGCAAAAGGCGGAGTTGCATTACAGCGGGTAATGTGGCTTAGAGGCTTAGATTAGAGTTTAGGAGTTAAGGGATATACCACAAAGGTCCAGAAGCCCACATTGAACAACCTAGTGCCCCCAGTCTCTGTGTCAGCTCATGGAGAAAACCCTGTTTGCGAGATCCGTAAGAGAGCAAAGGCTGGCTTTGCACAGGGTGTGGTACCTGCATGAATCGGATTTTTGACCGCATTTTAGGCAGGCAAGGGCCATTCGGGTGTATATAAGTCTAGGGATTATAGGGTTTGAGGCTTTGGCCGGATGCGAACTACTGATCTCCTTCTTCACTTCCCTGTTTTGCCTGTCATCAAGCGCACCTTGCGGCTCCACCATCCGTGACACGTCACTCGCTGCCTTCGCCATCGCTGACATGCCTAGAGATTTCGGGAAATTCGTTATAGCTTTAGGGTATAATAGCCAACACCATAAATAGCATCATCCTCGTTGTCATTTTCTTCGTCACCGCCATGACACCATTCGGCTTGGATATGCAGAGCAACTGTGGGGGATCAATGCTTCAAAGAGTGCCTAAGTGTAACCAAACCCTAAACCCTAAACCCTAAACTGCAAATCATGTAGGGGCCTGAAGAATAATGAGTAAGTTTGTCTCTTAGGGTTCCCTAATACAGGGTCGGTATGTGTGTATATATATATATATATATGTAGATATAGATATATTGATAGATAGATGTAGGAATAGATCTTTATATGCATTGCTAGCTCCCCCTACATCGAAGTCTGTTTATGTCGCCAAGTTAGCCCGCTTTGGGGAAGTTGGGTCCTAGCCCTGTTCTGCATAAAGAGCTAGACACCCAAAAGCCTACACCCTGAACCTCTAAATCCTAAACCCTAGACCCTAATCCCTTAAACCCCGAAATCCTGAAGCCCTGAGCCCTGAAACCCTCAACCCTGAAACCCTAAACCCTTAAACCCTAAACCCTAAACTCGAAAACAAGAAACCCTAAACCCTAACACCCTAAACCCTAAACCCTGACACCCTAAACCCTCTGAACCCTGAAACCCTAAACCCAAAAGCCCAAAAGCCCCAAAAGCCCTAAACCCTCTAAGCCCTAAAACGCTAAACTGGTCGAAGACCTGAGCCTAAACCCTATAAGCCCTAAACCCCGAACCCTATAAACCCAGAAACCCTGAAGCTCCAAACCCTGAAACTCTGAGACCCTCTCTGAACCCTCCAAACCCTATAAACCCCGAAACCCTAAACCCTAAAACCCTAAAGCCCTGAAACCTATAAACCCTGAAACCCTAAACCCTATAAGCCCTAAACCCTAAACCCTCTAAACCCTGAAGCTCTAAACCCATAAGCCCTAAACCCTAAACCCTAAACCCTAAAACCCTAAACCCTAAACCCTAAATAATCCAAACAGTGAAAAACTCTGAGACCCTCAACTGGTGGAAGACCTGGGCCCAGACCTCAGCCCGGACAGGTGCTCAGGGTGGCACGTCCGCTCCGGCTGAGGCCCTGTGGCAAGTCGGGGGCTCTTTTTGGGGGGCTTTTGGGGCTTTTGGGGTTCAGGGTTTAGGGTTTAGGGCTTTTGGGTTTAAAGGCTTTGGGTTGAGGGTTTATGGGTTTAGGGCTTTTGGGCTGAGGCCCTGGGGGACTTTTGGGGGGTTAGGGCTTTTGGGTTCTTTTGGGTTTAAGGTTCAGGGGTTTAGGGCTGTGGGGTTGAGGTTCTGTGGGAAGTCGGGGGCTTTTGGGGGGTTAGGGCATTTGGGTTGGGGGTTTGGGGGCTTCGGGCTTTTGGGTCTAGGGTTTAGGGCTTTGGGCTTTTGGGGCTTTTGGGTTCAGGGGTTTAGTGCTGTTGGGTTTAGGGTTTAGGGGTTTAGGGCTTTGGGTTGAGGGGTATGTAGGGTTGAGGGGTGAGGGCCTTCTGACTGAGTGTTTCGAGTTAGGGATTAGGGTTTAGGGTTTAGGGTTTAGGGTTTTGGGTTTAGGGTTTAGGGTTTAGGGTTTAGGGTTTAGGGTTTAGGGTTTAGGGTTTAGGGTTTAGGGAGGAGGTTTGCTTCAGTTCTTGTGGGGCTTTGGAGCTGGAGCTTCAGGAGGCAATCTAGGGCCCTCAGTATCTCATACACCATAGCGGTAGATAGACAGGGTAGTACCTGTAGTCTCCATAGTAGTTCTTTTTTTGGGGGGATACCTTATCATTTCCTTACTATATAGTTAATTGGTTAGACCAAAAAAGGAACTACAATGGAGACTACAGGTAGTCTCATCTCGGCTCGTCTCTCTTCCTTTTCTCGTCGATCGGTTAGGCTTTCGTATTTGGGTGTGAGGGCTCAGGAGTCACTATTCCCTGGACGTTGACCTCGAAATCCGCACGGCCCAAATCCCAAAACCCCACATCCCAAAATGTGTGGCGTTTGAGCAATCGGACGTAACTGGACTAGGACGTTCGCGATTCCTGACCGCGCCCTGGCAAGGATTCAGCACCTGCCGGCAAGGGTTCGTCGGGCACTCGGTAAATAGGAACCCTTCTGGTAACTCCTTTCTAGTAGCACCGCTTCTGCGCGAAGATGAAGACCCCGCGCAATGAACAACAGGGAAGATCATAACAGAGAACGGATCGGTAGGTTCGACTCCTTCAGGCCGACAGGGGTTGAAATAAGATCTCAGTAGCTGAGTGGATACACTACACTTTTTGGGATAATATTACCTACTAATTATAAAACTGAAAGTGTACACTTTTCTGGTTTTATGAACTCAGCGACTAAGAGATGGACATAAGGATCGGCTCTATGCTCCGGCCGAACCCGACCTTACCCGTCAAGCAGAGCTGCATCTGCCGTTTATTGAGTCCCAAGCCCCTCAAAAAACACCAAACCCCGTAGTTGTTGTTCTAATTCTAGCCTAGCTTCGCCAGAACAGCCCGATGCAACACCGAACTTCTTCACCCTTATAAGTTAGAAAGCCTAGAAAACCTTGCAAACGCAGTTTTGGATACCGGCGCTAAGGGAAATAATGAAGGAGCATGGTGTCCAGCATTCTTACTTAAGCCTAAGGGCGAAGGTGCACAAATAGAAAAAAACTGGCCTTAAAGTAGGCGCTAATATTGGTAATTTGGAGCCAAAGTATATACTAGCTGATACCCTTCAGGGCATAGGGCTTTATCTAGGGCAGCAGTTTCAAGCTGTTGTACCACTTTCCCGCGTCAAACCGTCTGTGATTCCTTATGAAGTTGGGTTGATCTTCGAGTTTTGGTTAGTCTAGTTTGTAGGTTTTTCTCGAGATCATTGTTGAGTTTTTCTCTGGGGTGTTCGCATTGGTGCACTAGTCACATGCTATCTAGATCCCTGAGCCTCCAAACCACAGCCTAAACGAGTACAGCGAATCCCAGAAAGTTGGAACATAGGTTTAGGAGGACTAGTGCTAGGATCCCTTATGCCTTACCTTAAGGGCATGAGGACATTACTGTTCCAACTTTCTAGCTTCTACTGTATATGAACCCTCACCCTAAACCCTAAACCCTAAACCCTAAACCCTAAACCCTAAACCCTAAACCCTAAACCCTAAACCCTCAGCCTTACTTCTATGAATCCCGCACGAAAGCCGAGGACCCGAAACCTTGCACCCTGCTTCTAGGAGTCCGAAGCACGAATATAGGGGCCTTAAAAATAATAATAGGGTTTGG